TTTATTGCAATTATTACGTGATATTGAACAAAATAATAGAAAATTGGATTGGATTTTGGGTAGTGATACATTTTATGATCCCAAAGGTATTTATGATTAAAGTGTTACCTTTTTTAACTTGATTTAACAACATTTATATTTATAAAATATAGACTTTGAGGATATAATTGCAACTATTGCATATATACTGAATTATCACTCACCAAAAGCAAAGTTTCTAACTTCATATCAAGAGCGAAGGTACGTGTATATCCTTTTTTTCAGAAATCAAATATATAAGTTAACAACTTTTAACAATGCTCATAATTATTGTTAAAGTTCAAAACGAACTATTCAATATTTATTAGATAAATGGAAACTTAAATGCCGACAAATATCTCTCAAATCGTTTAATTTTGATTATGACAAATATACTAATAGTAATAATAGTGAGTTGAATGATTCAATAAATAATACATCAGAAGCAACTTGTAAAAAAGAAATGATATATTCATCTTCATTGCAGAGTATTTTCTTGCTCGAAATTTGGAAAGATTAATTTGGCTTTGTTTAATATTAGAAACCCCCTATACAAAAATTACTAAATCCATTCTCATTCGATACACTAAATAACTATTATTAAGGAGATAGAAATAAGCCACAGTCATAGTTGTGTTATTAAATATGAAATAAATATAATTAATGTACGATAATATCAACATAGTCGATATATTGATATTCATATATCAACTTGTTCAACTTGTTATTTAACTTGTTATTTCAACTTGTTATTTCAACTTGTTATTTCATCATAACTGGGTGGTAGCTCGTCTGGAGCTATCGGTGGAGGTGCTGCAGAATTAACGGGAGTAGAACGAGATGGGGATGTTGCATTGGTGAGAGGTCCTGTTGGTGGTGTGATGCTAGATGCCCCCGTTCCTAATGCTTGTGTAGCAGTTGATGTGGAATCTTCACGCGGTGTATAAGTTGGTAATGGCTCAGTATGTTCAATAAGAACGTAACTTTCACTCTCTAATAAATAATTGTTAGATAAAAGTGGTCTATATTAACGATTATCAAATTAAAACTTACCGTTAAGCCTTTGTATCAATTCGGTGTAACATGAGCTGAAATCATATCCACCTATTTTGTTAATATTCAAATGTTAATAACATAAATGTCAAATTCTTAAATATAAATAATTATCTCAAACCTGACCTCCTTCTTTAAAAGTAATTTTCATTTGCCCGGGAGATGGTAATCCGCCATTCTGTACCTTTAATTGTTATAGAAAGTATTACGTTATTACCCATAATGGATAGTAATAATTCAAATATATAACATAAATTCTCACTGGTATCAAGCACGCTTCATAGTAGTTAGCACCAAACCAAGGTTGTTGAAGTTTCCCTTCCTTCAAATGCAAAAGAGGTATGCTTAAAGATTGAAAGTTAGGCAGAGTTGGGCGAGAAATAAATATAACCTGTTCAAAAAATTGTTAAACCAAAAAGTAATGATTGACACATTGCAAAGCAAATTACTTACACGTTGATTTGTGATAAAAATGTTTCCATCAGCCTTATAATTTGCAGGATTTCCAGGATATCCGCTAGTAAAGTTTAAGATCGTGTTAGTATAATTTTGTACCTTTGGATATAAAGCTGGTTTAATTAAGATTAGAACTTACCCGCCTAAATCCAGCAGAAGGGATACTTTTTCTTGACTATAATTTAATAAAATTGAGAAATTTGTTAATTCAGTTAATTCAAAATGTCTTGAGACCCAAAACTAAAGCTAAAACAGTTCAAACCTAAATAATATTTTTTCTCCGGGAAGAGGAACAGGACTCTTCCCATCGGACGCAATCATTACCCAATTCAATGCCATTATGACAAGTATGAAATCCTCGCTTTACAAAATTTATCGATACTTTAATTGTGATACTTTTTTATACGTATTCGATTTGAAGATTTCCTTAAATAGTTTATTTATAATGAATGTTATATGGAATATTTTTTTGTATAATGGAGAATCTAAATAAAGGTTTCAGATTTAAAATCTATCGCTATCAATTTGTTTAATATAAAGGGGAATAATGTATCACGAATTACGTGTGTTCTAATATGATTGGATATACTTTTGGGACATGTGGGCATATTTGTTGCTTGAACTTTCGTTCACATACGTACGTACGTAAAGTTAATCGAAGGTAATTCTCGTTCATAATACGGATAATATACTTTAGAACAGATTGGTGCCAACTTAGCCCCAGACTAGTATAAAATTATTAAAAGTAACGGTAAAATCCGAACTATTCAACTCGTTTTGGTCTAATAGCACGGTGTATGAGTTGGGCTTATAGATGCGACGCATTAAGGTAACAGTGCTGTAACCTTTACATGTATCAAGGTTGCGGACTTTGTAATAATATATCACTTGATCACTTGATATATGAATACAATCAATTCTATAACGAACTGTAATTTACTACGTTTCTATATAGAATTCTAAAAAAAAACTCTTTATAGATAGAATAGATTCGTTATATCCGGAGTCGATTGTATAAAAAGTTATTACATGTTTTAAATAAATTATGATTCTTTGAGATCGATTTCGTTTCATCGTTCGAGTTTAATTGTTCTAGCAAATTGTCGATTTTAGTTTTCGCCGGCATGCCGTTTATTGGAAACAGATTCTTAACGGGTTGTTGATCACTTGTCGATTCCGTCATAACATCAAACTTTGATCTAGCCAACCTATGACCATATATTTGCAAATATCTAATAGTACATTGTCTCTGAAACTGTATTCTTTTTTGATGTTTCAAAAAAATATTTTTCGTTATGGAAAAAATTCATGGTTTCTACGTAGTGTTCTAGGATTAGAAATAACACTACATAAATTTAATACATTTCTTTATTTGTGATACACCCATATATATATAGATTTTTGCTAGAACAATCAAGTCACGAGAAGTAAATCATATGTTCTGTGACATTTCTAGCAATGATCCTACAGTATGTATAGTCAATTTTTTAATATTCATTGAAGCCGGGTCTAGCACGAAATCCCGACATCCAAAATCTCGACAGGCCATAATACTGACATCACGCGAAGTGACAATTAAAAATTTAAAGTCTGACAATAATTGTTTATGTGATTACTGATCTTTAAATATTAATTGTCACGTAGCGTGATGTCAGTACTATGGACTGTCGAGATTTTGGATGTCGGGATTTCGTATTAGACCCATTGAACTCTAAGAACTCTCTTGATGAATTTTTATTAGGAATTATATATATATATATGTGTATGTGTACTACGTCACTTATTTATGTTACGTTAATAAAACTGCAGCAGAAACCATCCGAATATGATCAAAGAAATATGTTATAAACAATGTTGGGCTGACCAGACCAGTTTTACCAATTGACCAGACCAATTTGACCATTTGACCAGTCTGGTCAAATGGTCAAATAGCATTTTTAAATATAATTTATTATATAATATATATTATATTTATATAATAGACTTGACCAATTTTGACTAGCAAATTTTTGCTTGACCATTGATTTACCCAACATTGGTTATAAAGCAAAGTGTGAGCTTCTATTTCTTAAAGAAGTTTTTACATTTCTAGAAAAAATAAGACACATGAGCCTTTCAAGAAAGCATTGTAAAATAACAAAAAATTCGTTATCAATTGTGTAACAACTCTGTAACATCCACTGTCTCTGTTGGTAATAAAGCAGCTTTAATTAAGAAAAAAAAGCGAGTTTATTGCGATCGCTTACTCATGAATCTCTTGAACAAATACTAGAAACATGTATCAGTCAAAGAAAAAATACAGTACGTATAAGAAAATTTGACAAGTTGCTATTCTAAAATTTAATGATTAGTAATTTATCTGAAGAATTTTAGAAATCAAATAAAAACCAAATCACAATGTATATTCGAACTTTGTGAAAAATTTCGAGCAAAATCGCGATAAACTTGATTTATTTAATTAAAATATGAACAAATTATACTGCACCTTAAAAAAGCTGTTTATTTGTGTCATTAATCTAAAAAAAAATTATCTGTAAGGAGTTGCTTATTGCTTTTAAAACAAAATCAAGAAAATGATATTAATTCTTATATTAGGTCATTATAGAAAGACCTGTTGCAGCATTAAACCGTGCTTATTTAAAAGAAGCAATTCATTATTTTCAAGGCAATATAAATGTATTTGGTTAATTATATCGATATTAAAATGAAAAAATAAAAATAAATGAAAGATAAAAAATTAATAATTTTTTTAAAAACACGCTGATGCCTATTGTGAATTTCAATATAAAATGATATTAATTAAACCAATCAAAAAAGAACTACTCGAAATCAAGAATCAGATGATATGGGCTAGGTGCTGAGAAAAGGGAAAAAAAGATCCATTTTTATATTATAAATTTTATAATAAATCATAAAACTTTAAAGAGCTATACAACTACTTTTATGTTTTAAGTAGAAAATGATCTTAACCTTATTTTAAATTGATTTATGTAAAAAAATTTCTTTTGAAAAAAATTGTCAACTTCGTTGCATTTAGCCCGTATAATCTAATCTCATAATTCACTTTGCGTTAATCAATTTTAGTTACTTCAACTTTATCAGTACTTTAATAAATATACCTTATGATATCTTAATTACGTATTAACTCTTATGTAAACGTTAATCATTACCTTTTTCCCTACGTATTTAATACAATTCTGACAACAATGCTAGTCGAAAAAAAGCACACCTTGTATCACAACAAATTTATAAAATTAAGGGTAGGGGATCAACATTTCCGAATTCATATAAAATAGATTGTAGATCAACATTGTGTAACCAATATCATATGATATCATATGATATCATATAAACATCATATGATTCAGCCAATCAAAATTAGCAATTCTTTGTACCACCTAGGAAAAACATATAGCGACCTAGGCAAACTTTGATTATATGTGAAGTTAAAATTTTTTAAAGCAATGCATATTGCGCAACTTCACTATCATAAACAACCTGTTTTAAACTACATGTCATATAAATTTGATACATACAGTGGCGATCATAAGTAATGGAGCAAAAAAAAAAATTTGGTTAGATCACGTTATTTCGTGCAATTCTGGACGT